AGCTGGAGATCTGGTTGGTGAGTCATTCATTCATTTGTTCCCCAAGCTTTGATGGAGAACTTCTGGTTTTATATGCATCAACAGCACAAAGCAGAACAAAGCTTTTCCTTCAGGTTCCTCATCTTTTAAGTAGATCCCAAACCCCAAATCTGCAAATAGCCAAGCAAATACAAACCCCAAACCAAACAAAAACCCAGAAAAATGCCATTTTGAAAAAGGAATGAGAACCAATTCTTCCATGGATATAGTAATAAATAAAATATTCACTGATCTCGGAGAGCCTTCACACCAATATAAATGTTTACTTTCCGAGAAAAATATTTTACCTACTTTACTACCAAACTTGGCTTCCATTCAAGCATTTTATCTTTTATATAAGCACACAGAACCATCTCTGATTTTTGTTCAACCTGATTTGTTCTAGTGATGCTGAAATCACACCCTTTCCTTCACTGCAGTAAGGACTGTCTTTCTTTGTGGAGAAGCCAAGTTCACTTGCATTTCTATTTGCTGTTTGCTAGTATTTTGAGACACATATTCGGGAGTACACAAACCGGCATGAAGTTGGAGGTGCATGAGGACATAAAGTGACTTCAGGCTGTCAGAGCAAAAGTTTTTAACCCACTTCCTTGTTTTCCTGATGGGGCAATGGAAATTTCTGGTCACTAGCTGGGACTGACATTGATTTAGTGCCAGAGAGGTGAAACATGGGAAACTATAGAGATATTGTTTATTAGCGTTACTTAGTCATTCTCAGCAGTAGGTTTTATGATTTAGAAAACATTTCCTGGTTTTGAACACCTAACAACACAGCCTTTAAACATATCAAAAATTGAAGTGGGGGTGAGAATTCAATAATAAGAAAGCCAGAAGAGTAAATTCAGATAGCTTTGGGGTTTATAATTCCTTGTTGTATCTTTAATGACTTTAGCTCTAACTTCTAGATTTATTGAATTTAATTATTAATAGTTTTATTTATTTGATATTGATTTTAAAAGTTGTTGACTAACATGTATTAGTTGTACATATTGGTGGGATTCAGTGTGATATTTCAGTGCACGAACAGGGTATGTATTGATGAAATCCAACCTCTCTTTATCCACTCTTCTCCTCTCCTCATCCTCTGCTAGTCACTACTCTGCATTGAGCTTGACTTTTTCTTAGCTTCCACATATGAGAGAGAACATGTGGCACTTGTCCTTCTGTACTTGGCTTATTTCACTTAGCATAATGTCCTCCAGTGCACCCATTTTACTACAAATGACAGGATTTCATTTTTCTTTATGGCTTAATTATATATATATATATATATATATATATATATATAATATTTTCTTTTTTATCTGGTGATGGGCGCCTAGGATGATTCCACAGCTTAACTATTAATGAATAGCAATGCAGTAAACATGGGCGTGCAGAAGTCTCCTTGTATGCCAGTTTTGTTTCCTTTGACCATGTACCCAGAGGTGAGACAACCGGATCAAACAGTAGATCTAATTTTAGTTTTTTGAGGAATCTCCATAATGTTCTCCACAATAATTGCACTAATTTACAACTCTACCCTCAGTGTGTGAAAGTTCCTTTTTCTCCACATCCTTCATAGTGTTTGTTATTTTTTGATGTTGCCATTTTCCTAGGGTGATATATCACATTATAGTTTAAATTTGCACTTCTTAGATGACTAATGATGCTGAGCATTTTTTCATGTTGTTGGCCATTTGTATTTCTTCTTTAGAGAAGATTCTATTCCAATAATTTGCTTGGTTTTGATTTGATTGCTTCTTTCTTTGTTGTTAAGTGTTTTGAGTCCCTTATATATTTTAGCTTTTAATCCTTTGCTGGATGAATAGTTGGCAAGTATTTCCTCCTGTTCTATAGGTTGTGTCTTCACTGTTGGTGTCTTTGCTGTGCAGAGGCTTTTTAATTTGGTGTAATCATTTGTCTTATTTTGCTGTGCTTTGGGTTCATTTAGGGGTTTGCATTTGCTTGGCTATTATTGCCCATATTACTGTCTGAAAGTATCTTGTCTATCTTTTCTTATTGTGGTTCTAGAGTTTCAGTCCTGCATTTAGGTCTTTGACCATTTTGTGTTTATTTTGGTACAGGGTGAAAGACAGGGGTCAAGTTTCAGTTTTCTGTGTAGAGATACCCAGTCTTCCTAGCACCACTTATCAAAGAGACTGTCCTTTCTCCAAATTTTTATTCTTGGTTCCTTTGTCAATAATCACTTGGCTGTAGATGTGTGGGACTATTTTGGGATCTGTATTCTATTCCATCGGTCTGTATGTCTATTTTGATGCCAGTACCATGCTGTTCTGGTTACTATGGCTCTGTAATATGCCTTAAAATCAGGTATTATGATGATTCCAGCTGTGTTATTTTTGTTCAGAATTGCTTTGGCTATTTATGGTCTTTTGTACCTCAATATGAGTTTTTTAAAATTTTTTTTCTACTTGAGAATATCATTGGTATTTTGCTGAGTATTACAATGAATTGGTAAATTGCTTTGGGTACTGTGGACATTTTAACAATATGAATTATTCTGATCCAGGAACATGGGAAGAACAATTTTTGGTGTTTTTTTAAAAAATTATTTTGTCATTTTAAAATTTTTATTACAAAGATCTTTTACTTCTTTGGTTAGATTTGTTTGTAGGTAGTTTATTTTATTTGTAGCTGTTTGGACTGGGATTGCTTTCATGATTGCTTTCTCAGCAAACTTGTTATTGGTCTATAAAATGGTGACTATTTAAAAAATTTTTATCAGTGCACATTCACAGTGCACTGTGCATAATGATTATGTTCAGTGCAGAGAATAGGTCAGTTTAATTTGATATAATAAATGTTTTCTTGCTCTGTACTTACTTTAGGTCAGGTTCGTTAGAGAGAGAGAGCCTGAGACAGGGATTCTAATGTAAGAGAATCACTGAGTGATTTCTTCCAGGAGAGAATTTAAGAAAATGAGGGAAGCAGGATATGGCAGGCAAAGCCAAGCAGAGGTCTGGTTTTGGCTGATATCACCTCACCCTGATCCCAGGGTGGGCTCTGGAGCATGAGCGCCAACATCGAGTTTTACTTCAGTAAGTGACGGTCTATGAGTTTCCTTCCAGGTAAAGGTGTGGATTCATTGGGGTTTCTGTATATGGCATTTTAGCCACTCAAGTGTAGCTGTTAACAGTGTTCTAGGTGGGATACCAACAGAATATCTTACACCGTTTGTGTGCCAGGCACTGTGTACTAAAGAGATGACGATACAGAAGATTAGCCCCTGGTCATAGGAAACTCATGGAACAGTGCAGAAGATGGCAACTCGTAAGAAGAGTTATAGTGCAGTGGGAGTCAGTTCATTTTTGTTTTCATCCATAAGATGAAGCTGACTCATTCATGAACCAAGCTCAGGTGGTTTGTTCACCAGCTGGCTATAAGAGATCCTTATGCAGACAGATATGTAAGCTGAGGGAAGGGTGCTGGTACAACCATGGTAAATGACAGGAGGTTGGAGCTACCATCTCATGTGGCTTGCTTATGCCTTCTGATTCTCTACATGTTCAACTGAGGATATACCACCTTAATCTCTTCTTCCACCATCTGCAGTGGCCATTCTGCCATTGCTGTCTTACTTATAGTGGGCCATTGCATTTTCCATGCTTCTAGAAGCCACCTTAGCAGTGAGTTTAGACTATTTCCAGAAGTCTTTGCTGGAGTGTTATGTCCTATATCTCAGAGGATGCTCTAAAACCAAGAAATGCTCTCCTGTTCAACTCCTACCCTGGTCAGACTTCTTCAGTCCCATATGTATTCTACCAGCTATTAGCTATACATTCTGGGTAGGTCTTGAAGTTTCTTTAGGATCAAAATCACTTTCTCTGTATCAAACCCATACATGTCCTTGTGCAGGTTATGTTGTGACTTAACCCTTATTTTTGGTCTAGAAGTCAAGGGGAGAAATGGGATCATATATTTAGAGGTCAGTTGTCATGTTGTAGAAGGAGGCCCCTGCATCCTCTTTAAGACATGGGAGAGTGGCTGTCTTAATAGGGGAATGAGATGCCTCTGCAGGATCAGAGGGCTCAGGGGGTCTAGGGTCTCAGGCTGAATGCGTGCGTCAACCTAGATCTGCCTATTCTGTGTATCAGGGGCTCATTCATCCCAACGAGGGCCCTGTCCTTGTGAGAGCAAGCCTGTCTTTGTTGGCACTTTATGTGTAGCTTGACCGCTCTGATGACTGATTCCTGGATCTGAGTCTCAGCTTCCTCTCACTTTCTGCTGTAGGAAGTAAAAATGACTTTGCATTTTGCCATGGAGACTTTTTGGATCTCACACTTATCTTGTGTGAAACTAATTTCTTCTATCTTTCCCAGAGCTTCATTCAACCTTGTCAGTGGGCAAACAAATTCCATTGTTCTCATGGTTACTTTTGCCCTATACTTTTCATAGCTGGGTCCATATGTTCCTCTGTGCTCACACCACAGCAGCTCACTATCACTGACTCACCTGTCATCACCTAGCAGTGATGGGCTCTGAATTGCTGTCTTGGTGGTAAGTGGTTCATCTGCACATCTCATTCTAGTGACTGCTTTGTCAGGCTATGTCCAGTATCAGTCATCACCAGTTAGGGTCCAAGGAAAGTAGAGTCCGAGATGGAAATTAGGATGTAGGAGGTTTATAAGACAGAGTTCTTAACAATCAAACCCTGTTGGAAGGAAGAATGCAGCTTTAGACTGAGAAGTTGAGTTGCAATTTAGTCTCAGGGCAAGCCTTGACCACCACACGTCTTGAGGAGTCAGAGGAAGGAATAAGTCTTAGGGGTGTCTGAGATGGGTCAGAGGACACTGAACTTATTGATAGCCATGTTGAACTTGTGGGTCACCCTGGGAAGCATGCATGGCCTTGGGCAATGCAGCTTTCTTCAACAGGGTCCATTCCTGAAAGGGATGGTAATATAAAGTGAAATGCCATTGTGTAATGCATATGCTAACTTATGCTTTTTTCCCCTTTAGCATCTTTTTATGGTGAAAGCTATGTGGAGCTCAACAACATAGAAGTTTCCTCTGAGCTATCTCTTCAATTAAAATTTCAAACCAGCAAACCGCAGGGGTTACTTTTTCTTGCAGCTGGGAAAAATGACTATTGCATAATAGAACTTCTATCAGGAAACCTATGGGTATGGTTTTTAAAATCCTTCAAAAATACCTACATGTTCAATTACTGGAGAGAAAAAATCAAGAGAGAAAGGGGAAAATAGCTATGCATGTTGATTAGTGTTGCCTCACTGGAATAAAGTGATGTGCCATTGTACAGGATGGGATCTTGTCCAGTTTTGTCCAGTTGTGCCAGTATGTCTTTTTTTTTTTTTTTTTTTTTTTTTAGTACCAGGGATCAAACTCACAACCTCGCACTTGCCAGGCAAGTGCTGTGCCGCTGGGCTATATCCCCGGCCCTATGCCAACATGTCTTAAACAGTCTGACCTTAAAGTTTTCTTACTTCAGTATATAATCTATAAGTGTAGTATTCATGCCAATGGGAGTTTTCATGCCCATTTCTCTCTCTTTTTCTCTCTATGTATGTGTGTGTTTGTGTGTGTGGGGCCCCAGTCTTAGTCTATTTCCTGGTTTTTTTGTGTTTTAAACAAAGAGTGCCTATGGTTTTGACTCACAGTTCTTCAGTTTCAAGAACATGGTGCTGGTTTCTGCTGCACTGCAGGTGAGGGTCGTATAATGAAAGGAAGCATAGGATGAGAGAGAAAGAGAGAAAAAGCCAAGGAAGCTCACCTTGCTTTACAACAACCTATTCTGATGATCTGCAGCCTAGTCTAACAACCTGTTATTACAGTAACTGATCTAGCTCCACAAAAGTGAGGCCTTACTCTCATGAGAAAAACATTAATCCTCTCAATGACTCAGTTCACCTTTTAAAGGACGAGTATCTCTCAACACTGCAGCCCTGGGGACCAGGACCCAATAGGAGTATTGGTGGGGAAAAACCAGCCCCATTTCTTCAGTAAAATACAATGGCATGAGAAATAAGTGGTTAATTATAATTGTTTCTTTTTCAGGTGAGAATAAATTTGGGCACAGGTGAACAAGTGCTCTTCCCTGAGGAAAGACTTCGTGTGGATGACTTGGTTTGGCATTTGGTGGAACTGTATTATACTAAGGACAGTGTTTTCTTGGTTGTTGACAAACATTATGAGACAAGTGGCCAAATGGCTGGTGGGATGCATAATTTTAACTTTCAACATGGAATCTACATAGGAGGCCATGGGGGACTCAATGTCCCTTACCTAGATGGAAAGGTCCCCAACTTCCGAGGCTGTATGGAAGATGTGGTATTTAACGGTAGGGAGGTCCTTACGTCCCTTAGATCTTACCCTGGTTTTAAGAAAGTTTATGAGGTATCACTAGGATGCAGCGAAGAGTTTTTCTCGGGGGAGAATGAAGCCATCAATTTCTTTAGCTCTAGATCCTATGTTACCTTTCCAGAATGGAAGGTGCAAGGGGGAGGGATATTGGAATTTGCTTTGCAAACTGAAACTCAGCAAGCCTTGCTTTTATTTCAGTCAGGTAAGGATGGAGATTTTGTTGCCTTGGAAATACACGAAGGTCGGTTGAAGGCTCACATAGGAAGGAATAAAAGTAAAACTGAGCTTTCTTCTTCCCTCTTAATTAGTGACACCAAATGGCACACTGTTCAACTTCAGGTCATGGGAGGGCATTTGGACCTCATGGTAGATGAGCAGCGGGTAAGGACATTGCTGCCTTTGCAAAGTGATCCATCTGCATCAGAAGGCCCCCTTTTTGTAGGAGGTCTTAATAACCAAATGTGGGAAGAAGCAAAGACGTTAGACCTTGCCTCTGTGCCTAGGAAATCTGCTCGAGGAATCTCTTTGAAAGGCTGCTTACAAGGCTTGGAAGTGAACTCACAGAAGAAAGCATTAAAAGATGCCTTAGTTTCCAAAGATATTTCTGCTGGGTGCAAAATCAAGAGTATTAGTAATGCAAATCCTTCGGCTACAACACTGGCAAATCTGCCTCAGTCAGAGGCTTTCCTTTCCACCATAGTCCCTGGCACTGTCAAGCCCTTTCTTCAAGAACTAAGTAGTTCTTTTTTGGTTTTGAGTAGCTTGGAGGTTCAAGAAGGTGGACGAGCCCTACTGGAACAAAAGCATATGAAGGTGAATATGGAATTTAAGGATTTGGTTTTCAATTATTCTCAAATACTGTTTAAAATAGAGGAAATGCCTGTTCATGGGTTCCTTCAATTAGACGTTTCATCCGAGCAAGAAATGGCAAAGGCGTTTACTATGTTAGATTTGTGGCAAGGAAAAGTGTGGTATGTCCATGATGGTTCAGAAGAACCTATGGATTACTTCACATTTTTGTTCTCTTCTAACAGCAAGAAGGAAATGCCATTATATCTGCAGGACCATGACCCATATGTGTTTAACATTAATGTCATTCCTGTGAATGACCCCCCATATCTTAAACTCCCAGAAGGAAACATGCTTCTCGTGTTTGAGAACTCTAAGAAACAACTGAGCCCAAATATAATACAGGTGTCAGACCCTGACACAGATTCTTTGAATCTTAGTTTTTCGGTTCTTGGAAGCTTCAATTCAGATACTGGGTTTTTAGAAAATGCCAATGAACCCGGGAGAGCCATTCATGGCTTCAAATACGCTGATTTAAGAGATGGCAATATTTTCTTCGTGCACCGTGGGCTTCGAAACTCTCGAATTGTCCTGAGAGCAAGTGATGGGGAGCTGACTAGCAATACAGCGGTGTTACGGGTCCTGGCTGTTCCTTGGGACTTTGAAGTGGCCCATAGGACCGGTGTGGTTGTACCACAGGGTGGCACTGTTCTGATTACACGGAGTAATCTGTCAGTGGAAGTCAATGGTGAACATCATGAAATGGAGACTCTCTATGATATCACTCATCCTCCTCAGTTTGGCCAGATTCAGCGTTGGGGGTCACATGGGGAATGGAAACAAGTTAGCAGCTTTTCTCAGCATTCCATCAATAAGAATCGGGTCCGGTACTACAGTACATCCAAAGAACTACAGCAGAGAAATGTTACGGATCACTTTAAATTTAGAGTTAACATAGAAGGAAAAGTCAGCAAAGAGCTTATATTTCCTGTGACTGTACAATGGCTGAAATTTAAACTTGTGAAAAATGTTCCTCTGGAGATCAGTACCATGAGTAAGGAAGTATTGAATTCTGATCATTTACAGGCTGCAACAGAGGGTGTGGAAGTAGCAGAGAGGGAAATACATTTTAAGTTACTGACTCCACCTAAGAAAGGAAAATTGCTATTTGACAATAAAGTTCTAAAAACAAACTCAATCTTCAGCCAAAAAAATATTACAGACTCTCAGATAAGTTATGAGCCTCAGCAGAGGCCGAGGGAAGATTCACAGGATACTTTTAAATTTTTAATTGTTGCAAAACACATAGAATCAAAAGTTTATATTTTCAGAATGCTCTTGAAAGCAAACAAGACACGACTTATTCTAACAAACAGAGGATTGCTTGTAAAAGAAGGAGAAGGGAAATTGATTACAAAATCAGAATTATTTATTCAAACCTGGGACAATCAGATCTTCCAATATAAAGTCACCAAGAGTCCTCAGCATGGGAGGCTGAAATTGATTAGCTTTTCAGATACCCTGCAAAGTAATGACAGTATCACTACATTCACTGATCAGGACATAGTGGGTGAGCGGCTGATGTATATTCATGATGACTCTGAGACCCAGAGCGATGAGTTCTCTGTTGTGGTATCTCCAGGCCAAGAGGGAGTGGTCAAAGATTTTGACTTGGAGCATTTATCTACAGAGATCAAAGTCAACATTTCTGTTGAGTTAAAAAATGATGAATGGCCAGTACGTGTGGTAGATAAGGTATTTCATGTTGTGCGGAATGGCCAGCGCTTATTGACCCTGGCAGATCTCTGCTACCATGACCCTGACTTAGATTTTAACGATGGACAGTTGCTGTACACCCGGCGGGGCATCCCAAATGGGGATTTGGTGCGAGCTGACAACCCCACTGAAAAACTCTACCAGTTCACACAGGAAGACCTGCAGGAAGGACGTGTGCTCTTCAGACATCACGGTGCAGATTCTGCCCGTTTTGTGCTGTTTGTGACAGATGGCGTTCATCACACTTCATCCCTACTTGAGGTCATTGTATCAGAGCCCTCTGTTCAGATAGCAAACAACACAGGGCTTCTTGTACAGAGAGGAAAAGACAGCTGCCTCACAGCAGCTAACCTGAGTGTTACCACAAACCAAGATGTCCGAACAGACCTCGAGGTTGAATTCTACATTGTGTGGCCCCCGAAGCACGGCAGAATCCTGGTCAACAATTCTGTGTCCTCATCGTTTTCCCAACATGACTTGAAGCAAGGACATGTGACTTACAGGCACGATGGCAGTGGCGACGCTGACATGTTCAACTTGACAGTGAAAATTAAAGATACAGACTTAGAAGTGGGGCTCTGTGTTCAAGTAGAGTTGGAAGATCATCACCATCATAGTGACGTTTGGCACAGAAGGACCCTGATAGTTGAAGAAGGAAAACCAGTAAAACTGAGCAGAGGAAAGCTCCAGGTAAATGTCCTCCTAAGCACCAAGCTGTCTTATTTTCTTAGAATCACAGGGGATGATAATGTATTTGGTTGCTTCTGAAAGATTTTTTTTGTATGACTTTTCTCCTGGTGTTAGGAGTGACTTTTTAAAAAGTATGTGGATACTGTTAAGAAGAAATGTGGGAGGGTTTCATGAGTGTGTTATTACCAATTTTCCTGAATTGGAGATGGCATACAAGCAATGTAGAGCCTTATTTTCAAGCTGTGTTCACAACGCATTCATTTGAATGTGTGTTTGGGATAGCGCTCTGAACTGGGAATAAGGGAGGGAAATATATATTATAGAAAAGTAAATGATTTTTACTTTTATTCATCATTAACAATAACACTGGCAATATTTCACTTATTCTGAGGTATATTCAAGATGAGGTGAAGCAGCAGTTTAATAAACATAACAAGGACTTCTAAGACAGCAGAAGATACTATATATCACAGCTTATTTCCTTAGCTCTGAATGGGCTTTGTTTAGTTTCCTGAAATTTGGTAGATAAAACTGACCTAGCCAGTGGGATACCAGGAGTGAGGTGAGAGTGCCTGCTTTCCTCAGGCTTCTGCTTGAAAACTTCCAGCAGGCAGAGCCCTGTGGACCAGAGTTCAGAGGTTTGTGCTGTTTAGGGTCATCCTGTGTGGGGTAGAGGGCAGGTAAGCTGTGATTGATGACAACTGGTCACAAGCACAGGCTACTCTGAACCTAACTTCAGGAGTGCAAACCCCTGTACTAAATGCATCCAATAGTATCAAATAGAAATGTATTTAAGAGGGGTTGAAGGGGATGGAAGGGGATGGGGGAAAATAAAGAATCAAGTTATATCTCAGTTCGTTTTCAAGTTTGGAGAAGCTAATGTGTACATTTCACCACAAGGGGGCATGTGCACTTCGGCGACTGTAGATCAGTTGCAGTCTCAGTTTGGAGACAGATTCTGCTGAATCAGTAAATTAAAAATGTATGGAAAACGCTGAGCTGGTTGAAATGGGTGAGAAAAAAATATTTCTCTAAGTCCTTACAGTTCTAGTGATTCAACTGCTGTTTCTTTTACAACCTTTTATTTCTCCTAATTACAATTTATTTCTTTCATCTAAACTTTCTGAGTTGTGGCATTTTTTGTTATTGCGTATGATGCTTTGCTAATATATTTGTAGCTACATAAGTGTTGTTGACCATTATTTTTCTGTGTAACTGAGGCTGATACTCAAAATATTGCCATGGACGCCAGATCAGACCTAGGCTTAAACTGTGTATCAAGTCTGATTGTAATTTAAACCAAGTGTAGGCATTAGTAGAAAACAACTTGGTTTATCAGTAGTACTGGTTCTTGAGTTTATTAATATGTTTTTCTTTTGTGCCTGTGTGTTGTGCATGTGAACTCAAGGCTGGAAATGAATACAGTATTCCTTCAGAGGCAGTGTTCAGAGTCAGAACTCCACCGATGCATGGATACCTCCAAAAGTCTACACCTGAAGAAGGCAGCTTGAGTCCTGATGAAAAGTTCCCTTTGAATTTTACACAGCAGGATGTTGATGATGGCAATATCCTTTATGTGCAGACAGCTCCTGCCCAAAAGCAGGACCATTTTTTCCTAGATGTGATAAATGGCTCCCAAGTTGTAAGTGAAGTGGAAATCCTGTTGGATATTGTCCCTAAGTTGATTCCTCTGGAGGTTCAGAATTTTACAGTTCAAGAAGGTGGTTCCAAAGCACTTCTAGAAGATGACCTCAAAATTCCAAGCAAATATTTTGAAGGACTTGACTGTGAATTTGTTCTTCTTGAACCACCAAAGCATGGTTATGTTGAAAACTCTCATTTTCCAAGAGTAAAGCTAATGAAATTTACCAGGAAACAGGTAATAACTCTCAGTTAATATATTTGGGTGGGTTGGGTAAGACATCAAAAATTGGCATTCATCATTTAGACCCAAGGGGGATGGAACCTATGAGGTGTTTAGTCTGACCACCCATCAGATGCTAGAAGCCTATTTATAGTATCCACATAGAGTGTCCAACCATTGCTCAAATATCTTCAATGACGGGAAACTTACTACTTCATGAGATGGACCCTTTTAGTTTACAAACATTGCAACTGTTAATTCTTTAGGTTGAGCTGAAATCTGTCACTTAGAAACTTCCAGGTCCTGGCTGTGCTGTCTGACAGAATAAATCATACCCGCTTCATAAGAACTCTTTAAATATTTGAAAGAGGAAGTCATCAAATTCCCCTGAATTTTATCTTCTTTAGATTAAACACTACTTATCATCTAACTTTTGCTTTCTGCCACAAGTTTCCTGCTCCACCCTGGCTATCTAATTCTACCTAATTCTAGATGAATGCCACGTTGCCACAGTCCTTCTCAGTGATGTCAGAGTAACACTCAGATATTTAATCATTACTGATTTTTTTATTCATTCCTTTCCTCATTCACCCAGCACACGCTGACAGACTGCATACTCTGTGTCATGCCTGTGTTAAGCCAGGACTATCATTGTTCAAAATGACCCAGTACTTGGAATCTTGGAACTGGACACAACTGCCAGTGTGGTATCCAGTTGTCATAAAAAAAACCAAGGTCAATTGTAGGCTGCTATTGGGCTTTTTTGCTTTGGGCTAGAACAGTATTATTGTCAGACTTTGCTTTTTTATCATGAATAAAAGAATTCTTTCCATTACTTCTTTTTAAATTTTAAAAAGTAGCTTGTAGATTGCCATCATTTCCTTTATAATACTCTGTCAATATCAATATCCACTCTTCAGATTGGAAGCCATTAATAATCCCTATTTTCGGATATCTTTGTCTAGTCAGCTAAGAACACATACGTGCTGCTTAATTGTCCTTTTAAAATTTCAAGTCATCAGCTGGTTTGAGTAACTTTACTAAAGGCTTACTCTGTTTGAGTTACTGGGTGGAGTTACATGCTAAATAAAACATACTCCCTGCCCTCTAGAAATGCTGTGGAGGAACCACGCACAACAACTTTAATATAAGGTACTCTCTTCTTGCCTCTCATTTTGCATTTTTGTAATAGTGCTATGGGAGAATAGAAATGGCACTTTTGATTTGAGTTGGAGTGCATAGGGAAGGGCAGAAGAGAGTCTTCATTAAGGAATAATATTTAACCTGAATGTTGGAGAGAGAGAGAGAGAGAGAGAGAGAGAGAGAGAGAGAGAGAGAGAGAGAGTAGGGATAACAAGGATCCAGGAAAAGGCAATGTGAACAAAAGCAGCAGCATTGCCAAGGGGCATGGAGGCTTTAAAGTAAAGGGCTGAGGGGATGAGGAGCAGCCCATAGGCTGAGGAGGAGCAGAGATGCTTGGAAATAGACTGTGGTGAGGTCCTCACTTTTTGCCCTAAATTATATGTCAAGGGAACTAGACCTAAGAACTCACGGGCGAAACAAAGAAAGCCAGGAGTTGGAAAGGATTTTAAGCATTGGACCCAAAAAAGGTGATTCTTTAGTGACTCCATGCAGGGTCTCTTTATCAAGGCTTCACTCTTAGAGGCTCAACAAATTACCTGTAATAACCGCCTGCTCAGGGGTGAGTTGAATTGAACCCCTTCTTTTTGTGTGGTTTACGTGAGAGATCAAGCATTCAATTTTGATGTCTTGGTCAATTCAGTTACTTACTGAGCCTCATAAAAGTGTATTTAGGGATGGTTGATTGACATCTGTATGCTGATTTACACATGTTCCCTGTGGCATCACGGAGACAAGTCAAAGTCATATATTTTTGCTTTCTAGATGACCTCTTCCCACTCTTTCTTTTTGTATGACTCGCAACATCTCTGGGGTTTGAGACATTGTCATTTTCACTTGCAGTGATACTAATCCTTAAAAACCAGTGGTTCTAGCTTTTAATGACTTGGAGAAGGAGTCCCTGGTTGTACCTACCCCTTCATTCTTTCAGTAAGTAGTTTTTGAATGCCAGTTATGTGTCAGGAATTCCAATTCTAAGTACTAGGGATAAAGTAGTGAGCCAGCTAAGTAGTAATCCCTGCCCTGTGGAGCTTTTTTTCTTTAACTAGGACAGGGAAATGGATCCAGAGAGAGAGATGATGAATAAAATAAAGATGTGAAGTAAATGACATGTTGAATGAAGATTAATACTATGGAGAATAATAAAAGTCAGGAAAGGAACGTAGGAAATGCTAAGGCCTTTTTTGATGTGTGCAAGTCCACACATGTGCACACACACATGGATGTTCAGTTTCTTTTTTTTTGGTTTTTCTCCGGTACCGGGAACCGAACTCACGACTTTGCGCTTGCCAGGCAGGCGCTTTGCCGCTGAGCTAAATCCCCAGCCCGATGTTCAGTTTCTAATAGCATGGTCAAGGAGCACCTGTTGAGAAGTGGCATTTGAGCAGATGTCTGGAGGAGGACATGGGTGGATGAGTTGAGCATATGGAGGGAAGAGCTGCAGCGGGGGGAGGGGCAGCCTGGTGTGTCTGAACAGTTCCTTGTGGTTCAGTGTCCAGGGAACTGCGTGTGCATGAATGGTGGGGAGAAGAGCAGGTGGGGTCACAAGGCAAATTAGGAAAGGACTGGAGACTTCCTCCTTTAGCCTGAGGGAGGAGATCGGGAGCAATGAGGATGGGTGGATGTAAGTAGAAGAGCAGCACAGTATGCTCTGAAGAGGACTGATGTCAAGGGAACAAATACCTTTTGACCTGTCAAAATTTTCTGCACGTTTGTTGTATCCTTTCATTTCAAGTCAACATGTTTCTGTGCATTTTTGAAGTCAAGAATAGAAAAATCCCCCAAACATTTTTTCTTGGCCTTATAATTAATACCATTAAATGATATGGCATTTTGGAAAGTGCCATTCTAGTAAGGAAATTATATATTTTCCCAGGAAAAAGTCATGGAGATGATTGCTACTTAAATATTATGTTCTTAAAGTGCACTGGGTTAAAACTTCTCCCAATTTCTGATCAGTGCCTCCTTACATGTTTGCTTTTGAATAGTTTAAAACAGTATGTTCCAGAAACCTGTCATCAGGCCTCTGATCTGGAATTCCTCTGCCCATTGAATGCCAAAGAAATTTTTATAGCACCTGTGTACAAGTGGCCCATTTGTTTTTTTTGAGCGCTTTCCTGAACTCATCAACTCTTGTCAGAAGCATTTTGGAAAGATCACAAGGCTTGCTCAAGGGAAGTAGCCACAGGAATGGGTGAAGTTGAATGGTTAAAAAAAAACTGGCTGTATTTTATCAAAACAAACCCAATGCTCCTGTCGGGGTTCAGAAGTTATCTGCCTTTGTTTATTTAAGTCACTGTGCAAGTCCACAAACGTGCACACACACATACATGTTCAGTTTCTAATAGCATGGTCAAGGAACTCCTGTTGAGAAGTGGCATTTGAGCAGACGTAATCTGACGTAATCAGTAGACAAATCTGAGTAAGAGTCCTGGCTCCCCACTCACTGAAACTAATTTCCATTCTAGTTTGAAATTCTTTGCTTTACAATATTTCCACTAGAGTCTTACAGACGTGAAAGATATTGTAATCAAATTTTTGGTTACTACAAATCCAAGAGAAATAACTAAGTCATTGGACAACTATTTCAGACTTAAAATTTAAACGATGAAATCTAATGAAGATAAAAGTAAACATTTGCACTCTGGCTGTTGCAGTGAGGAAGATCTGCCTTGATAGAATAATTTGATTCTAGTGTAGTTTGTGTGTTTGTTCAAGGAAGTGCATGTTACCTAGTAATGTGTAGAGTCCTGAAGACATCCCTTAAGGGACACACACACAAAAAAACTATTAAGAAGGAGAAGGGGTAGAATTAGGAGGTAGCAGGTGTAACCTCATTTACCAAGAACATTTAAGGGACCATTGCATTCTTTGTTGAGAAAAGAGAAATTTGGCGGAACTTAATAATCTCCAAAGAGGAGCAATACAGTCAGTTAGAGAACTTTCAGAGCCTGAATCTAACAGTGTGAATTGTCCAAGAAAATGATCAGCAACTTCAAAAGTTGTCATTCTAAATAAGCAAATGGAGCCTAAGTTTTACCATGTTCTTCTATTTGTGAAAAGGCTGAATTATGTCACTCCTACACATTTTGGTGCTAGAAATAGCAGTTGAACTTGGATTTTCTGATTACCAGTCTAGCAGTTTCTTCATTGCCTTGCTCTGTTGCTCTGTTTTGCCTTAAACTAATTTCTAAGGTGCAGTATTATTTCAGAAAAAACTATATTATCCATCCCAGTTGGCCTCTGATTGTCTGAGGACATACTTCTGTGTTTTAGAGCAATTTTCAAAATTGGGATTTCTTTGATAACAATGTATTTACATTTTACAATCACATTTCACCAAGTTAGCAGTTTTGTTGTTGTTGATTATAGGTGGAAAATGAGTCGATTTTCTACGTTCATGATGATAGCGAGACGCTGCTTGACAATTTTACCATCTTTGCAAATAGCTCAGAGCTTGGAAAACAAAGTCTGCCCCAAACTCTTTTTGTGACTGTTGAACCTGTAAATGATGAAGCTCCAGTAATAACAGCCAATAAAGTCCTCCAGGTGAGTGCTGTATGCTTCTGACTTAACAAGAGACTTCAGAGCTGTTAAGTTGATTTTCATTTATATTATTTCTAATGTTAAATAATAAGACTATGCATATGGTTTACAAAGTCCCCCTGTTTTATATACATACTAGTTATTATCAGGATATTCTGTGGGTTACTTTGGGGAGAAGATAAAGAGTCACAATAGGCTCCTTTCACTTTGTATTTCTCCACTAGGCACCGCTCTCGTCCTCACCAGCCAGGCCCTTTTCAGCGGAGCTTAGGCAGACGGCTGCCCATGGAAGCTCTTGCTAGGCTGCAAATTTGATGGTTAAAGAGTAAGGTTTTCAGTAGACAAATCTGAGTAAGAGTCCTGGCTCCCCACTATTAGCCATGTGACCTTGGGCAAGTTTTTTAGGCCCCAAATTTACTCTCCTTTGGTAGGGAAGATGGAGACAGAGTTGTGAGAATGGATGATGAAGGGCTTGCTCACAGTACTTTGCATGTGATTAACATGCTGAACTACTTGCTAAAAAAAAGAACAGGCTGTATTTGGGTAAAATAAGGGCCACTGCGTAGTCATGAGGCAGTATTTTTCTGGTCTGGGAGCTTTCGTTCCCCTTCACTCACTGAGATTTGTGTCGCAGATACACATTTTTTGGCTGGTATGTGTTCGGCATTTTGCTCCTTTCCTGACCAGGAGATTACCCAGAGTTAGTGGCTGCTGTATGGCTGCTGTGCAGTACCTCCTGGCACTGCTGGCCTGTTTCCCGCCACATAAGCACGTCTAGCGTCTGTGTCAGTTAATACTCAACTATCCCGAAGCTTTCATTTAATAGATTACCTTGGTTTTAACTTTATCTTTTTTTATTTCCCTTCATCTAAGGACTTGGGCATGAACTCACAAGACTGACGTTATAATTTTGATCAAGAATGTCCCTCAGAATTCCTCAACCTTGCCAAGCTCCTACTTCTCGGATGACTTTGCAGAGTTAGCTCAGTGGGAATGACCACAGGGAGACTCTGTGAGGGGAAGGGAGAGAAGCAGATGAAAGGGAAGGAGGGCCACACGCTTGGTTAGATAGCGCAGATCAGTCCCGGACCACCTGGGTAAGGAACACAAAGCAAACTTATAAAGTGATGAGTTCCAGAGGTAAAAACACTACTCATTTTCCGTATAAAATGTAGGGAGTACACAGTGAACCAAGCCTTAAGACAACTAAACACTAAAAGTCCTATGCCTAGATCCAAGTAGTTTGAACAACAACAAAAATTTTTGAAAGCTGGACTAGCAGCCCCTTGAGGTAGTTAGATCCGCCCCTTGTGGAATCCAGGGATTGCCCCCACAATCATTTAATTGGTCCTAAAGTTCACTGGTTCATATTGTATGATGCCTGTATTTGCCTTGTTTTCTTCAGGTCCTTCCATGTCACCTCTTTGGCCATCACTCTCACCAAAGACCCTTTCCTTTTTATGTCAACACCTTTCACAGATGGTACCCTCCACTGCATCATTTTGTGGCTTGATGGTCTAGATTTGTGCCACTGAGGAAATGATACAAGGTCTGGGGATGCAGTGGAACACATGCCTGGCATGTGTGAGGTCTTGGGTTCAAGCCTTAGCACCACACATTAAGAATTTTAGCTCTTAATAATCTTTAAACACAATTATAAAAGTTTACATTTATTGTGTCTTGATTGAGTACTGGGCATCTTCTGTAACCGGTGTTATTTCCCACCCCTGTCCAGGAACTGCTGTGATCAACTTTATTTGTAAAATGGGAAAATTGAGGCATAGAGTGGCTACAAGGAGGGGGGTGAACTAGAAGCCAAGTCTGTGCATGTTTCCCTCTCTCAGCACCGTACTCTACCACTTTTCCCTGTTACTCCTGACTGACTCAGGCTCTTTCAGAACCCCCCATGTTGTTAAAGGATGTCTTTATTGGTAAAAAAAAAAAGAAAAGAAAAGAAAGGAAAGAAAGAAAAAACAGTGCCAAAGTGGCTGTGCCTTGCCCCTGCTGAAGTGGCTTTTATGGGTCTAGTTCTATAGCAATTGTGCCAACCTGTGAGTTTGCCTAGGAACCCAAGGAGATTTGCAGCCTTTGCTGTGTGGTGCAGAACTGCAGGATGAGGAGGGTCCAAGAAAGGGAACAGAGGTCAAAACCTCTGGGAGATGATCAGAGTTGGCTGAGGAGGGAAAAACTGAGGAAAAAAGTGGTCAACTCCTAGGCTTCTTTGTGGAAAGAATTTAAGATGCACTGTCAATTCAATCACAGCTTCGCTATATAAAATATACCTGTCAATGTAAGATGTTCAGAAACAGTGAAATATGCTAGACTTTGTCTTTGCCCTCCTTTAAAATTAGGGAAATACAATCTCTCTGTCCAGAGCCGAAGGGTTGCTCAGTTGTTTACTGCCGCCCTCTGATGATATGAGAGTTCACACTAAAGAAATAGAGGCAGAGTATCTAGGGGGCCAAGGACAATTTCCTTTATGCAGTTTCGCAGTTTTGATGGATATATCATTCACCTTGGCTCTTTCTGAGTTCATTCACCTATTTTTCTGGTTTAAAAAGTGTTCTTTGAAGAGTGAAGGTTTTGGATTAAAATTAGGATACTGGAGTTTAAGATTTGTAAACTGGCCAGTTGAACTTCAGGAAAATCTCTATAGGTTTCACTTTCCTTAATAGCAAAGCTGTGGGGGAAAAGGCTATTTTGCTTGGTTTTGTTCGCTTCCTCCCAGTTCCACCCCGCTGTGATTGTATCATGGGAAAACTTGCTCGATGTACTTCAGTTCTGTGCAGCTTGAGTCAAACAAATGGAAAGATGTAGTGTTGGATTGTATGTTGGCTTGATTCACTCTAGATTGGGTGGAGGTGTTATATTTAAGAGTGAACCATTTATTTAAGAAATATACATAGCTCTGGTTTTAAAGTCAGTGTTCTGCAGAGTAAAGGGGGATAAGTACTACTGTGGGATGTGTGTATTAGTCAGCTTTTCCATCACTGAGATACAATACCAGACACCCACAATTTAAAGGAGAAAAGGTTGAAATTGGCTCACAGCTTCAGGGAATTCAGTCTATGGTGTGCTGGGTCCAACGCAGAAATACCATGGTGGAAAAGCATAGCAGAACAAAGACGCTTAGAAGGCAGCCAGGGAGCAGAACAGGGAAACAGTGCCAGGGAGGAGGAAGCCTGGGACCAACTGTATACCCCATGGTCATGCCTGCGTTACCCACCCAGAGACATGCAGAAGTGTGTGTTACTAATTCCTGGGGCTCCCAAGCCAGTCAGATTGACACAGTCTTAATCACCACAGCATGCTAATTAGTTATATACAGATGTAGAAGTAGTTTTAATAGGACTTGTTTGATTTTTAAAATGGAAAAAGAAATCTCAAGAATTTGTGTCTTCAATTTCAAGCAATGGTCATGGTACAATATCCAGTGAAAATCTTCCCACATTGAAGTGTTTTGGCTCACTTGCTAATCATGATTTTTTTCCTTTGTTTAAATCATGATTGTTTGAGATTTTATTGATTTTTAGTCATATGGTACAGAGTTTATTTGGATGTCTTCCTTATAAGCCTAGATGTGTTACCACCTCTGGGAAGCTTGGTTGGACTATGGCTCCCCAGGACTCTAGATAGGATATTCTGAAAGAGACCTTCTCTAGCACCCAGAGGAAATATAGCCTTGTGTTGTTTTCTGTCCCTAGATCTGAATTTTTCTTTTTAGTGCTGACCACTCTCTGATATTAAATAATCTATCATCTTACTCCTTCCAAAATGTAAGGTGCATTTGAAAGGGAGTGTACCTTTGTCTCCTCTTTGATGTCATCAGGGCGTGGCATAGTACCTGACCTATATAGGAGCCCAGTAACTCTTACATGGTTAAATAAATGCTTTCATGGAGCTTATGTTCAGTGTGATAGTCAATAAAATTATGTTATAAATGGAGGGTTGATCTGCTGTATTTTCTGCAAAGCACATGTAAGGATAGAGGATGATTTGGGTTGGACAACACTAACATTGCAGAGAAGGTGCTTAGGAAAGGTCTCTGCCAGGAGGGGACATTTGCAAGGAAGGATGGGTGTTAGGGGTCTGAAGACCTCCTCCAGGTTTGTTGATTTACAAAGACTCAGAAGATGTAGCATACTTACAGCTTAGATTTGTTACATTGAGAAATATGAAGCAAAATCAGCAACGAGAAAAGGCATATGGTGTGAAGTCCAGAGGAAACTAGGTCAAGTCTGAGAGTGCTTTTCCACTGATGTCATGCAGGGTGCATGAACTGCTCCAGCAATTTTAGCAACACATGCAAAGTGTTTTCTACTGGGAAAGGTCACTGGATCTGGGTGTCAAAGATTTTTATAGGGCTGGTTAGGCAGGCACTCTGCCCAGTATGGACCGAGATCCCAGACTTCCAGGAGGAAAGCAGGTGTCCAGCACGAACCACACTGTGCAAACACCTTGGCACAGTGAGGCACTCTTACCACTTAGAGAAAATTTAACATCAGTGTGGAAAGCTGTTTACCAGTCAGATTCCCAGATGACAGTGAAGGGCCGTCCTTACAAGCGGATCTTTCTAGGGAATGGCTATGTTAAGCTTGCTATAAACCCTTTTCTTAATAAAGGTTGGCTTGGTTAGGTGATTCATTCATATGAATATTAGAAGGAAGAGAATTCAAGGTGAGGGAATATTCCGGACAAAGGCAATGGGTCTGTAGTGAGCCTGGCATGTCTGAAGGCATGAAACATTTGGAGTTACTGGAGCAAATGGAGAGAGGAGGAGAGTGATAGATATTCAGTTCCGTGGTGAGAGTTGATGTCTGAGCATAAGGACCACCTGGTGCTGTACAATTTTGTTCCATTAGGTTTCCGAGATATCATGGGGAAGCAGCCAGTATGTACTGAACCCCTGCTAGGAGTTAGGCTCAGTTCTAAAAGTATCAGATGAATGATGAAATGATTTCTCATTTAATTCTCACCATGACTCTTGAAGTAAAGTGAAGATT